TACCTGTAGATTTAACCTGGTATTACGCACGAAGAATGGCTATAGGGGATTAATCTTCCTCGGAGCGCCATTTTTCACTTGTGGCTAGTGCAAACGTGTGTATTATTTCGGGAACAAATTGCTCCTCTAACGGATTCCTGCAATAATTATCCTCAGTCCTAGGCACCGTAATGAGAGGTGATTAAGTTGATGAAATAGTAGTGGGTGATCTCGCATTCTTGGGAGGGATCCATCACCTTGAGTGGTCGGTCCTTAATTCTGTTACTTACGATGAGTAATTGGTAGGTATGGTGACTACGTCATGGAGGTTTTCGAAGAATGAGTGTTCGAACAAGGCTCTGTAAGTTAGGTTTTCATGATTCGGTATGATAAATGATCAAAACTTAATCCCCGAAAAAATATTGAGTATGCCACTAGCTTAATGTAATTCAATAATTTCCAAGTGACAATATTCGCCTCAACAATAAATAATTCTCTTAAAATTATAGCAGTTAGAATAAAAAATCTATTTCGAAATCCTTAAACTCGTTGAGCCAAGATGTCCATCCTCGTATAGTCCGTCATGTGGGACGAAAGCCAAGAAGTTTATATGGTGGTCAGTAAAGTGTCTGTGGCCGACTGAGAGATAGCAAGCTTAAGAACGAATGACTGCGGCATATACGTATATGTACAGAGAGGCGAGTGAAGGGAGTTCTTTAGTTTACTGGAGGTTGGTCGCAGCAGCAGCTACAGCCCGGCTAGCTTGCTCATGGCTCTCCTTGCTGAATAATAGGAGGACTGGGCTAACTTTAGAGCGAGAGTCAGCAGTGCGAGGGTGTCGAAAGGACGTACGTGTGCATCCTTTATGTGCTTAAAAGAGAAAATATCTTTTAGTTATAGTTAAATATTGTTTATAATTATTTATACTAGACAGTGGTGTGTTAGTCACTTCATCGATCAGTTTGGCACCATCCATCCGCACGGAGGTAAGGATATGGCTCATTATAACGTTAAAAATGACGTGCATCTTTGCTCGTTCTCTTCCTATTCTAAAGTAACGTAGAAGATAAATTAAAACCATTCTAGCGTTGTGCAGAAGTATAAATTGTGTTTTTAATCTTACATCTAAAATTTATCTTTAATTTTGTTGATTTTTGTGCGCAACTGCGATCTAATTGGCTCTTTGACTTGTGTGTAAGTAAATGTTCCGAGAGATATTAGTTTACCATTGAAGTTGGGTATTTCTAGAACGGACGTGTTCCCTTGTAGTCGCATATCATGATGTAATTGAGAAAATTCGCCCTGAACACACAAGATTGGACGTCATTAGAGTCAATTGAGCTGAAATTACGCTATTCATCAGCTCCCCACATGCCCCGCTGGTCCCCACATACTCCCACAGCCCGCACAATTCGGCTCCCTTGAATACCGTTAGTATTAGGTCTACATTTTGAGTTACGCATATCAATAATTAAAATTAATTTATACTCAACGTGTCTGAACTGATAATGTATAGCTCTTTATCTCCTATTTATAGCTAGAAATTACACTTACTTTTATTTTCATAACTTTGCTTGCTATTAGTGTACTTTCTTTCGCATTCTCGCTGAGTTCAATTCGCTTCAATGTATAGAATTTATTATGATCAAACTGTTAAGTTATCTAAGTGAATTTGCTTTCGATAGTTACCAGACGATGTTATGCTGCCCGCCTGTCGTTATCGAATTCATATATCTCGCCTAACATTGATGAAAGAATCAATGACATTCATCGTTGGAGACTTGAAACAACTAGGAAAAGGATCGTATCAAGTCGTTAATTACTGACGAAATGGATTCGCAAAAAATGGATGAGACGGAGGATGGATTCACCAATAAAATCTCATGACATTTCAAAAATTTTTTGCATGTAAGGAAATAACGATTTAATTGATTGCCTTACAAAGTTTTTCTGCTCTCCATGCGAATTTTGAACTGCCAGCGAATTTCGGTATTTCCTCATGAGTGAATATGAAACACCGTTGTTTGTACGTCTTTAAAAAAATATTAAAATACTCCATGACTATGAATACATTTGCGATAAATTATTTTCAGATGAATAACCTTGATTATTAATAAGGTTTTGTTCAAACTTAGGGGTTGCTTTTCGAGATGTACAAGGAAGAAAGAATAAAATTTTTTGCATAAGCATAGCTCATGTTGTATCATAACAAGTTGGAAAAATTTTTCTTCATTCGATTTAGTGGAAAAAAATTTCCCTGCAAAATTTATTCGCAAACGGTCTGATTAAATTTTGAGCTTCGATACAAATTTTGAACGTTGATCTTATCATAAAGCAGAACATATAGAAGCATCCGAGCGGCCGCTGATTTACCTGAAGTCATCTTGCCTTTTGGTTGCGATTTTCACGCTTAGCGTAGCTCGACCAGAGACGCGCTAGTGAAGTTGGTTTAGAGGCTTTGAGCGTGATAGTCGCTCATTGGTTGTTCTCAACATATGTACGGCGGGTGCAACTGTACAGTCGGAAGGGTGCGCAATCTCTGTGAGTTACTAGGCACGCTTGCAATAAATTCTGGCCTCACACGCGCTCCCAAATGTTGCAGCCAACGCAACCGCAACTCACCAATTCTTTGCTATAGTACGTCTTCTTCCCTGATGTTGAACATGCCCCGAACCGAAACTGGCGGCTCCAAGCCTTTGTTGTTCAGTGCTAGATAAGTTTAGCACAAATCAAGAAGTAAATCTTTATGTTGGGAGTTCAATATTTATAATTATGATACAAGGGAGCTCCGTCGATTTATGTCGTGCAGAGCTAGATGGTGGATAGAAGCTATGGAATGATTAGTAATCAGACCACGGGTTCGAATAGAGAGACTCGCCACATTCTTCATCGTAAAGAACACCGCACAAGTAGCGTGTTGAATAATGCTGGGTCTATATAACTTTGCATGACTGCCATTTGATATAAATATAATCGATACCTGTGAGTAGAATACATTATTCCAAGCATTTATATTTTATTTTACCTAGCAAACGATGGTTATATAAGTTTGAAATTTTCGCTATTTCATCTTCTATCATTAGTCGCGATTGTAAAATCAAAAATACTAATAAAAAACAGTGGAATGGAAGTCAGCAGAAACCTAATGGAAACTGCTGATAAAATTGAAAGGATTGTCATAACGAAATATTTTTCTGATAATTATATGAATTGGTGTTATAAAATAGCGATCGTGGATTAAAATTAGTATGGTTCAGAAGAATGTTTTTTCCAAATACCGTTGCTTTCCAACCAAACGCTGTAAATGGAAGTTTTCAAATATTTTGTCAATTCATGGATAAAATTTTTGGATGAAAAATTACAACTCAGCTTATTTCTTTGTGAATTAGAACTATCTACAAATTTCGAGTGCATTGTCAAGGTATTTTGTTTTATATACAATTTTATGAAGTAATATAGCGTTTCTTAGTGTTATAGCAGCATGAATATACTTGTCTTATACACGGTCACATTGAATAACTCAGATATTGAACGAGTCAACTAATTTCTATTAGATTATAAATAAAATTCTCTGGGGGTTTATATGCATTCAAGTGGTCAAGTTGGTAGCGATTTCTGTTGATTTTAAAATGAACCAGCTACGAATAGAGTTAAATTAATTGAGTTAATTAAATTGTTACAATAATTATTGTCAAATAAAATATTTTTTCTTCCATGTTAAAATGCATTAATTCGATAATTGTTATAAATACAAAATCTTTTTATGTATTTTGAATAATATTATGAAGAAGAAGAATGCAATGAAGAAGCAGCAATGTTTGAGTAAGCATTTAACAAAAATACTTATTTTAGTTTAAATTATCATGTTTCTTTCCTAGAAATTTCTTAATGGATGCTTGACTAAAATTTCAATCAAACATATTTTAAAATTACATTATCAGTGGTTCCCAAAAAAAAAAAGACATCGAAAGCAGCATGCAGATATCAGTAGCTAAAAAAACATTCTATTAATTTACCAGCTGCATCTGTTTTCAGATTTTACTGAGCTATATGTAGGTGTCTCTGTTCAAAGACTTACTTGACTAAGTGAACAATATCATATAGTGACCCACTGAGGTTTATCATCCTGTGATGTATACATTTCACGGTAATAGATCACAACACTTAAAAACAAATTAAAATTAATCTATGATCCTTATTATTGCCCTGTATCAATTTGCACTGTACATAATTCAGAAATTTATCATAAAATATAAAGTTTTTCAATCCCTGAAGGGCTCCTCTATAATAAATTATAATATCTCTTGGACCTTGGTAAATTTTTATTTTCAGCATAGTATTAACCAAAAAGAATATTTCCAAGAACTCGATCTTGTATGAGAACAACATAATGAGAAGAATGAACTAACTCAACGTTTCACCCTCTTTATTGCATTCATTCCCTCACATCGAATGCCCTCTCTGTAATTAAAGAAACTTTTTATAACTCAAATAAAGATAATTGTACTAAATTTGCTATGAAATGCCGATAGAGCCACATGAACGAAAGTGAAACTGACTCATATGAAGGCTAGAGTGCGTGGTCTGTAGTGTTAGAGCGTCACAGGACGGTTATCCTTGTAACGATGCTGCTTGGTCTAACCGTCCACTGGCGCGTCGGCAGGACAGCCATCGAACCCACGCCATGACAGTGCTGTGCGTATTCCAACATGGCTCGCTTCATGGCACGTAAAAACTGATATTTTTAGCGTCTACAGCAGTTCTAATGTCGTGATTTATACATGAAAGTTTATGTAAGACTAAACAGCGTCATATATCAGCATAAAAAGTTCTTCCAATAGATTGTAGTTCTAGAAAAGACAACTTGCCTTTTGTGTCGAAGCCCGGAGCTATTATATCTGCTTCTCTACGGTAGAAACCAAGATTCCATCGCTGGCTGTGTGAAACCATGTGTTATTATCGATCTATTCCTATTTACAAATCGTATTTTTTACAATATCTGTTTACGAATTGTATCTTTATCAACCGTGACAATATGTTGAGACATGGAAAGAGAATATTTATTCCCTTAGAGAATATTCACCGTTCAATTTTAAAGTTGTTTCTGTTTCACCAGCTCAAAGTTCAATTAAAACGCACCTGGTGCAACATCCTTCCTACGTCTAACTACGAGCGATTTGTTTACACACTGAGCTACAATTAAGGTTCCTTTATGAACCTCATATTGCGGGCAAATATTGAATTTGAGCTTAGTAATGGACCTCTAAGAACATCTGTGGACCTCGAGCCTGCCGCTGGCATGGAGTCGTGCGGAGAAACGCTACGTAATGGCGGCCGAAGGTACGGAGCTGTGGCTAGAGTTGGGCGACTCGTCTGCTCAATATGGCCGAGCACTCGGCATGCAGGTGAGCAGGAATGCTCGGAAAATTTCTGTAATAGTTTTACATCGTGTTCATAAATGCTTTTATTAGCATGTAATATATTTATTAGCATATTAATTAATAATGCACCTCATTGAAAAATGCAATATATTGAATTATATTTTTTCCGGGACAAGTATAACTAGAAATCGTCGGCATTGCGCATTTTTTAAATCAGGCATTGGTATATTGTAATTTATTCTTGTTAGCGACTACTAAGTTATTTTTTATTTGATTAAACACAATGGGCAACGACATATTTGGATTACGAAGCAGAGACTTAGAACTAAAAACAAAAATTTAATAGAAATATAAAAAACATGAAGCATCCAATATAAATAATTGTAAAATGTGTCATTAAATTGTCTAAAAAGATATTGCTTTCAATTCTTTTGTTAAAAAATTAAATTTCAAGTATATTTTTTAACTAAACAATTTAATAACATTGTGAATTTGGAAAAAAAATATTCGAAACTCAATCGTTTTTTGTTTTTTGAAGTTTTTAGGCTGAACAGCTGAGTAATTTTCTTGTATATAAAAGTTGACACGCAAATTGCATTATTTTGTATCGTACGACGGAATTTCATAATTGCGCTCTATTATCCCTGTCTCTTATACACATCTAGATGTGTATAAGAGACAGGTATATCGCTACCCATCAGTGCACTTGATTTGAGTTATCAAAACTGCATAATGCATATGAGAATAAAATTTGTTAAACGGCTAGTTAGGTGAGAAATTAATTAAAATGGGCGTCATTTGTTGCAACTTCTCGATTTTGTAAAATAGAGATTATCTCGTGGTACTTCCAAAAGAATTTTGAATTGTATGCTTTATTTCGGAGATATCAAGTTAATACATAATTTAGAGTTTTGTTTTTCCAAAAAATTTTGAACTATAATTAGAGAAAAAATGTATTGAGCGCAATTATCGGCCTCACTCCATCTAAATCAAGGATCAAAAGTAAAAAAAAAAATAATATCAGGCAAACAAATTTTTTACATTCGATGACTTTTTTTGAAATTGTTGGTTTTTGAATTTATATCATATGATGGGTCCGATCGCGTGCTGTTTATAATTGAACAAAGACAATTTTTGCTTTTATTACGAGTACAGGAAGAAATTATGTATATGTTATTGATACATCTGAAGATGAGTTTAATATAAGGAATCAATGTAAAATTGTACCAAGATTCTCAGTTGTTTGTCTGGAATAATTGTTAAATTTTGCCGTCGGGCTCAGATCGAACGCTGACTGTAATTGCACAAATGGGATAGGTCCTGCACCAATCGAGGTCGAAATGTTCCATCTGCCTATGGTTTTAGTCCCTAAATAATCTTCCATGTATATTTAATTCTGAGCTCGATAGCATAGTTATATATCAAATCGATGAAACGTTCGCTAGTCATATTTTATTCTAACAACTGTGACTTATCTAATTACACTCGTGTATGAAACATAAGCCTGTCTTCGTAACCGGTTTTAAACTGGACCATGCGAGACGGTGCAAGTCCAATCGATTTGCGGCAAGGGTTATATAGATACACTCAACGCCACAAATTTCCTTTCAAAATAATTTCCCCATCATTTCGTGCGGTCTAAGTGGCTTCCTAGAGATCAAAGGATTCTAAAGATGTGGTTATAAACCCACATTAATTGATGGAAACTTGTGTCTCGCCAAACCAAATCGAATTGATGCGACTTAAGGTATCATGAGCGCGGTTTAGCTTCATCGGATCACGAACGTGTGAATTTAATAATGACAATAATAATATATTAATAACGGAGGTTTATGTCCGTGAAATCAACGACCGAACGGTGCATCTTTAATGCAATGTTCTTTTTTTGAGAATACTGTGCGAAATTTTATCAACAAATGCAATTGCTGTTGCAAGTATCTTTGAAAGCAAACCAGCCACGACATCGATAACGGTTCCTGTTCTGCAAGCATAGAAAACAATTCGTTTAAAAGTCGTATGTGTCCGATTTTTCTGTGATAGATAAAATTTTATGAATATAGTCTCAGCGGGAATCTGATTAATCTTATTGATATTTCATAAACACGAAGCATTGGAAAACTCATTGGAGGTTTAGGTTGATCAATATTATAAAGCAATTACTAAATACTGAACTGATCGAAATAAAATACTTTTCTCTTGAATTAGGTTGTGGAATCTGAATAATTCAGACGTAAAGTGACGTTGTACGTATACGACATTTTTGGCAGCTTCGGGCTTATATTCCATCGTTTCGTCCTCTTCTTCCCCATGAATAAAGTGTGGGAGTAGAAGTGGAAGTAGAACCCCCATCCTTGGGGCTATACTGTATATAGGAGGAGGAGGAGGTCTTGTTTCACGCAGGCGACAGCGCGCTCAGTAATTGTCTCGGGATCCTGATGGAAACCCAGCCTATCTTTAATTAATTAGGAAGTGGGATGTACGTTAGTTGGGGAGGGACATTGGATAGGAAATAAGACAGTCACTGTTATCAGTAATGCATCTTTATATGCAGCGCGCTGCCAGCATTCCATTTAGTTGAATTCAATTTGCGCATAGATAGGCTGTCGCAGCAAACTCACCCTTAACTCTAGGTCTGTTTAGTGGTAGATCGCGTGAAGCGAATTCACAGTGAAACATGTTAAAAAATAATGTGTTCTCAGGCTTTGCTTCCACGATGCAAGCGTCTCAGACAAGCGTGCTCATCTTGATCTCCATGCGTTAATAGAATTAATGAGATGGAGGTCGACATCTGTCAGACTATTATGAAGGTCAGCGCGGTGTCTTAACTCAGCTACGTCACATTAACTTGATCGTAAAAGATTTAGCATGCCAAGTTGTATTGCTTTGAAGGTGCTCGCGCAGACGTGATGGTACGTCTCGTCTTCAAATATCTTTTGGTGAAGCGAAACACTCTAATTTATTAATCAATTCTCCCGCAACCTTGTAGCAAAAATTGAACTTGCGGTCCCATAAATTTTGTCATCATATCCCAGAATAACATTTTATTTACTCCAGCTGATTGCGGAATTCGAAGAAGTAAAGTTTAAACTTGTTCAAAATTTCGGAGGGTACCGGGGTGATCTGTCAATTACCATTGCAACCCTATGTGGTCACTCATATAAACACGAATATTGCACTGTATAATAGACAACTTTCTGAGAAAATCATATCTCAAATAAAATGTTGCTTAGTAATGTATAGGAGAATTTCATTTATTTTCATTTTAACTTTGTTGTCACTTTCATAGTAAAAATGACAAGTCTGATATCAAAATTTCTGTTTGATCAACTCTCAAAATATCCTGCAGCTTGGGAAGTAAGTTAAAATATAACCGGGAATCTTCAAGCTCCGAGCATTTAAAATTATTTTTTCGAAGGTTCGAAGCTGATCGAACTCGTCTCATAAAGAAGCAGAAGAGAAATAATACCATGTACCTGTGTGGTGCAGCATGCAACGCTTCACGAGCCAAGCTTTATTCGTACGTGAAGCAGCTTTGGTGCAGGGCAATAGTGCGGTGAAGCGAGCTCGAGGACAAGCCCAATACATCGTGTCAGTCGTGATGGACGATCCAAGCCCGATATAATGACGAGCTCAGCCGCTCACTAACGTACGGCTGCAACAAATCAAATAAGAACGCGATCATAAATTGATTTCAGAATTAGGGCTTGCAGAGTTTATGCTTCGATATTACAGGTCCAAACCATCTTTTATAGAATCAATACACTTCGCCTGGCTCGCTGCGTTCCAGGTTAATGCGCATGATGGCAAGCAATAATTTGTGCAGCCGCGGCACCTTCTGTCAAATGTACATTAGAATGCAATAACACCAGCGAAATCATCAGCTTCTATCCTTCATTTCCAGATATTATCCTTCGCCGTGTTCCTGTATTCATTATAATTGATCATACTTCAGCCGTCTGGCTCATTGATTGCAATTGCGTGGCTTATAAGCTTAATATTTCTTCAGTTTCTTTGCAATAAGTATATTGCATTATTGACGAGGCCCACGTTCGTAATCTTTTTGTGAATTTTATGGCAGAATTTTTTTCTTATCTACATGAGTAAAAATTTATTTTAAGTGAATTAATTGCTTGAAGTGTATTAATTTTGGAGGTTTTTTCGCACTGACTTGACAAACGACTAGACAAAATTGTCTCCTTATTTTAATATTTACCAACATTATTCATACTCAGCAGGTACAAAGGAAAAATTTACGAACTTATCATTTAGACGCCTCCTTAAATTTCAGTTCTCAAGGGCGTTGCAAATCCTGTGTTCCAAGTATTGCATTACACGAGCTGTGCACGTATCAAGCCTCCTTTTCATGGAGCTTTTTGTCAAAAAGACCTGCAATGGATTTCTATAAAGAATAGCAGCCTATTGTTGCGAGGCTGTTTTGTTCGCCGAGAGCATTTTCCAAAAGCACGAAAGGGCTTGACACAATCTACGATGACAATAATAGACCTTATTGAATTTATAACAGATAACTATTCAATTGTAACACCTACATCGAATTTTCCAGACTGAAAACTCGAATCTCATTGAGGGTGGGTTCTTTTATTAAAAAGGAGAGGCCGTTCTCCGAGCTCTATCGCCGGTCAAGTCCTGCAACAGCTGCCTTGATTCAGTATCACTTTTACGAAGGCCCAATGATCTGCAAAATTTTCCTGCACCTTTGGCATAGTGTCGAACCAGTCGCGACGTAATGAAAAATTTGACTGAACGTTCCTTTTCTTAACTTTTATTTTTTTTATCTAGCACTAATTTTGCTAAATATTTATCTAGTAAAGAAATCTAATCATTGTTAAATTTAAATTTATTTTAGGTTTTTAATTTAGTCAATGCCATATTTTTTGTGTGTTTTTTTAGAAACGTCCAATAATCATATAGCTTTTTTTAATTTTATTTCATTAAAAACGGTAATTAATGCCGTTTTATAATTTCAATATAAAATTGAGTCCACTCACAATCACAAACTCTAACGT